AACTGTTTTGTAATTCATTAGTGGTTATATAACTTATTTGCCGGATTATTTTGTGATAAAAAGAAATCTGACGAGGTTTTCAGCCAATTTTATTTAATATTTTTTATCATTTTGCATTCATATTGATTTTTACTTAAATAAACACTTCCTAAATCAGTTTCATTTGGTTCAGCTGTTTGCTTTGCTCAGATCAATTCATTTAGCTGACATCCTGGACAGTCTTGCTTAAATTTAGAAGTATACTTAATCATTGGATCTTATATATTGTATAAGTACTCGGATAAATATAAGCTTTAGATCTAGTATTTTTTAGCATTTATTGGTCTCTCATCTTTCATTTGACAGACGTCTTTTCAGATCGACTGATCGTTTTAACACACTTGAACTTGTCAATAACTTGTTGTGTTCAAAAACAGAACGTGGACTGTCTCTAAAATATAAAACGCGTACCCAATACAACTCTAAAGATGGAGGCCCCGAAATGAAGAGAGAAAAGGAAAAATAGTATTCCAATTTGTCCTATCTCGGAATGGATGAATACAGTATGATGTGGCTGATACTAGAAAGACAATCATTTAAAGATGGCGCGAAATAGAACATTCTAAACTCCGCGGGCTACAACGGAGGGGAGAAAGAGGAAATGAACGTGACCAACATAAACAGGATGTTAGCTAGTCGAAGGTATGAAGAGCAAGATGGTGCGGCCTTTTGTGTGGTCGCAGTCTCCTTTCGTTGTATAGAAGTTGTTTGACTTTGTTTTCGCAACTTGGTCTTTTGGTAGGAAGACTTATAGAAACGCACCTTGTCCTGACATCATTTCCAGAATGGTCACATTGGTAGGAAGACTTATTGGAACGCACCTAGTCCGGGGTCCATTGTCTGCATGATCATTTCCAAAGTAAGACCGTGGACGTGGTACATTCCCAGACGTTTCGCCGGCATCGTCAGTGAGTATCTCCATTCTTAGCACCATACATGGTACATTCCCAGACGTTTCGTCGGCATCGTCAGTGAGTCTCGCCATTCGTAGCACCATATAACAAATTGTCAAAGAGACAAGGATGTTAGCTACTTGATATACCCTTGCTTAGTTTTCCATGTCATCTGATTGGACGATGCAATGCTAGGCTTTGATTGTACAACGTGAAATAAAGTGTCAAGATTAGTCAGGCACTCACGTGATCTCTGTGCCAAAGGATGTTGAGCCATGACTACGAATGGGATGTAACAAAAACTAAACATTAAATAGGAAGTGTGGGTGTAGGTCACTACAATAAACTCAATAAGGTTGCTTGGCCCAATTATCTCTTATTATAAAGTGTTTCAAATAAATCACCTATAGAACATGATCTTATTTGATTAATTCACTGATTATCTTATCTCTACAAAGTACTTAATTTCTTATTATTATCATTATTCACTTGACAACTTGAAAACGATGTTCGATTCGAAATGCTAAAGAGCAATTTTCTTCGTTTTCTATTCTTATCATAGCAATGCAATAGTGTAGAGACCATTTTCTCCTACTAGCCTAATCCCCCTTTCATTCTTTCAAGGTAGATTAAACTCTTCATAAGTTAGTTTTTTTATTTAAGTAAAATATATTTCCTCGGTGTATCTCTTGTTCTTTTAGCGTTCATCCATTAACTATTTTAGTAGATAATTCTTATTTCTAACTCACGCTGTACATACATTTTATAATATAGCCTAATAATATTGGCCTATTCTTATAATAGTTATGCATGATTCATGCTGTTTACTTATGCATACATAAAAAAAATAACATAAAATTTCTCATATCAAGGTCTTACTGTAACTCATTGTGAATTCGTTTATAATCTTATCTACTTCCCATTCTCTCCACTTAGTTCAAATCGGATTTATTTTATTCCTTATCCACCCTCACTAATATCCCTATATCTTGAATTTAAAAATTACTCTATGCTATCTGTTATTTTTAGGTAGCGGACCTCATTCTCGCTGAAGAGGAAGCCGATTCTGAGGAGGCAACATCCATCTGTTCGGGTCAGTCTCATCCTCATGGTCTTCGGGGTCCCTCTAGTCAATCATCTGGGCTTGGAATTGCTAGAGATTGGCAACCCTGTCTTGAGGAGCCTTTAGATTTGCGCTTACCCCTCCTTTTGCCCGAGGACTGTTATCCTTCAGATGTCCCTGTCTATCTTAACAGCATAACGTCATTAAAGAATCCACAAAGCCAACAGTATGCCAAAAATACCTTTTATCTTTGTTTATGCAGTGTTACTTTTCATTTATTGAATTGTTAGCAGCCCTTTTAAATCAAATTTTATTCGTTAGTATTAGAGATGCCATACATGGCTTCACATACATTATCACTTCGACGTAGCTTTTACGCATCACTTACTATATTACATGACCTCACTTCTGGGCTCTTTACACTCAAAACTAGACTTGTTTTGATGAAATGGAAGCTTTATAGACTATGCAAGCCTGTTTTTTTGCAGGCGGCTCAATACCCTCTCTATCCTTGAGTGTATTAGCTGAGGATAAGTAGTTTTTACTTAATTTTTTGCCGGTATTCCTTACATTCAATGTGTTGGTTGATTTCGTTGGCTCACCTAATTTTACGTTCGGCTGTAGATATACTATAATCGGTAAAGCGGCAAGTTAGAGGCCATTCATTCTCATGCCCAGTTTCTGCCGTTTGCCTAGCTAGCTCTAATTTTAGACCCAAAAGCCTCTACTGGTTCTTTTATGTTCAACCGCCACCTTTTATCTAATGGGGTGACAAGCCTCTCTAATTTAAAAGTGTCCACAAACACTTTTTTACAGCAACCGGTTCTACATAATGGACCAAATTTCTCTCTAAAAATGAGCATAATTGAAGAAAGTGTCATTATCCCTGGTGTTAGCCATTATTCATACGTTGTTCTGACGTTCAATTTTGCAGTAATTCGTCTACCTTCTTCTAAAGTTAACACCAGGAGTCTGTATGAAGATCTATTCAATTTCCTATTTTGCCAAGATAGTTGCTTCTTATTATCCTATTTTTTATATTTCGAAATTATTGGCATTTAATCCTAATTGATAGTTGTTGCCATCCAAGATTTTTATTAGCCTTCTACACTCATGATCCTGGTGTTTAAAGCCTGCTAGGCACAAACTCAAAGAGACAAGTGAAGCTGATCCTTTGACTAAACGTGTTCTAAACAGTTGTGGTATCTTCCCGTCTGCCCTGGGCTATTCACATTTCTTATATCCTCATATCACACCTTCACTGCTACAATTTTTACCGTGCTTATTTATATGTGTGGTGTGCTCCTTTAAGCGGCATTCATGAAAATCTTTTACACTTCACACTGTCCTTCCCACCCCTTTCACCCTTGTGCTGGAAATGTTGATCAGAGTCTGCCATATTGTTACGCAGTCCTTCCCTAGGTCTTATCACAGTCTCTATATTGCCCCGTAAGATCTGTCTGCTATATCCCTGGTTCATGTATTACATTCGACCACATCTGTGCTACCCGAGACGTTATTCGCCCTTCCCTGCGTCTGGGCAGACGGGGAGTTACCACAACTGTTGAACAGACATTTGGTCAAAGGGTTGGCTTCACTCGTCTCTTTGACGAGTTGTTGTGTGGTGTTAAGAATGGCGAGCCTCACTGACGATGCCGACTACGATGCCGGCGAAACGTCTGGGAATTTACCACGTCCATGGTCCTACTCTG